AACAGTCCTTTCCAGTTTTTTGTGTCTAAAGGCATCTCAGCAACAGACCTGGGTGGTTATGCACGCCCCTTTTTGTTGTTTGTGCACGACGAGACCAGTAACGTATCCGTATATAGTATAGGACACTAGCTGCAAACGTGCACGCCCAAAGACCCTTGTAATGTGATCGTTTGCTTTCGATTCTCCCTCGAAGTTGAGTCACTTCACTTCACAGTTGAGTCTGGTGCCTTATGTTCTTTGTTCCCTTCTCGCAAAGGTGGCTCGCCTTGCTTGAGCCATGCCAGAACAGCTCTGATGTTTCCACTGTCTCTCTGAAAGGGCTTCTCCTCCAGAGATTTGTTGGAATGGGGTGCTTTGCAATTAGCACCTGACTCTGAAACAGAGCACACCATCGCCAGCAATGAATAAATACAGCCTTTCAGCAGGATCAGACCTGTGAGCCTACAGGAAGCTTGAACCAGCCTTCTAGGGAGGAAATCTAGCTTTCTTTGCAACTCCAGGCTTTTAGCCCCCTTGGATGTTGACAGGAGCGCGACCAAGAAGAATTATGGCTGTAGCACGGCCAAGACCCAAACCTGGGAGTCATGCTGTCATACATGCATCCAAGCACTGCAGCGCTCTGCAACAAAGACGATTGCACAACAATTCTATTGCAGCTTTTGCGGCCCAAGCAGTTAGCGAGTCACCGAGGGGCATTCTGCATGCATTCTCATGGTTCTATGTGTTCATAACCGTCCCATTTTGGAACGCTTTCGAGTACTTTGTGGCTTGTCCAAATTTTCTCAACAGCTGAACGTTTGCCGAAGGCCCAGTTCCCAATCTGAAGATGCAGCTCAGGTACGATATGCCTTGTCTTCGATGCAATATTTATGCTCATATTTGCCTTGTCGGGATTGTCTGCTAGCGCCTACTCAGCGGAGACAAAATGCTACGAAGAGAATGGCTATTCCTGGCACAACATCCTGGCCGTGGCCTCAGCCTAGTCTGGACATGGTCCGTCCTTCTCACTTGCTATGTTATGCTATGTTCACACTTGGTGAATGCAATAGGGGGATGTGGGGAGATGTGTGAAGATACTGTAAGTATGCGTATCTATATATATATACACCTATGTAGATATGATACATGATATATGATATGATATACATATCCACAATTTGACGCACACACCGTCTGAGGCCTTGAGTTTCATCGTGTCCGCTGTTTTCGCAGCATGGGGTGTGCTTCTGCATGGTGCCGTTGTGATCAGTGGAGAAGGAGCACCACTCAAGAGTGTACAGCTCACCGGGGTATCTCGTTATGGCCACATTCTGGTCGCCTGGACGTTGCCTGGTGAGCGATTCAGTGATGTCAAGTTTCCAGTGCTCTGTTCCTTTTGGCTTTGGCGGCCAGTTTGGGGTGGAATGAATGAGCACTACTGCGGAACAGAGTCACAAGAGCCGTAGAGCCACGCCCGCATGCAACCTGGACCCTAACAATCTAGGAACCAAGCGGTTAGTGCGAGCGTGAGCTATCCTGCGTCCCGTAGCTAGGAGCGTACAAGTTTGCCCTTGCTTAATTAAGTAGGCGCCTACTTAATTGTTTACTTAAGGATGATGCGTGATTGGCCACCGCTCAAGAAACAGGTGATTTGCATGGATTGGGCCCCCAAAGCCCTCTCTTTTGTGATCTCCGGAGCTTCCACTAACTGGTGGGGGTTGGGCTGGCCAAGCCATTGCTTTGCCGCAGGCCCCTCTGCACTCCTCGGGGCTTTCCTTTTGGGCCTTCTCTCGGGCCTTTTGGTTGCTGCCCTCATTTGCTTCTGGGGCCTTGGATTTTTCTCAGTCTCGGTGCCTGTCCCTGGACGTCCATCTCCAGGTGCCTCGTCACCACCTTCCGATCGAGTTCGTGCCTACTTGAATGAGCAATCGCTCAGCACCTTCAGCCGGAGAAGACGAGGAACTATCGCTTTCCCTGGAGTTCCAGGGGCTACAGATCTCGATCAAGGGCAACGCTGACAAAGCGGCTTCCTTTGTGCAGCGTTTGGCAGCTGATAGCAACAGTCCTCCTCCCGCATTTTGGCATCTTCGACAAGCAGAGGGGCCCCAAGCTGTCGCTGGCAAAGTGGAAGAAACTTTGTCGCCGCAGAGCGTTGCATGTGTTGGTTATGGCTTTGAACTATGTGCACAATGGTCTGAGGCCGATTTCGACTCAAGTGCTTGGGAGGCGCCCTTCTCTGGCTCAGCTCTCTGTCTTCAAGAGGCTCCGGGCGCTCATTGCTGCGTGTGATCAACCTGGGGGAGATCACAAGTTACCACCTGGCAGATCTGGTTTTGAATTCATTGCAAAGCTCGTTGAACTTGAAAAGTATGCTGGTTCTCACCCCGACCTCAGCTTTGACTACGGTGGGAGGCTCGAGAGCAGTGAGGCTGCTGACATAGCCGTGGGAACTATTGAGAAGGAGCATCGCTTCGAAGTTACTGAGGAGTTTTCACCCATGCTGCCCTATCAAAGCCTGGTGGCCTCCAGGCTAAAGCTGTCCGGCACTGCCGCTTGGGACATGCAGAAGTACCTGAGCAGTATTCTTTGGCTCCCTTTTCAGGATCCTGGCATTTTGCTGCACGGCTTCAAGCTTGGAAACGTTGGCCCTAGCTTTGCAAGAGAGTCCCAGGATGAGAATCTTCAGCTGGCCAAAATTTGGGACAGTCGTGGCCTTTTGGCTATGTTCCCATGTCGGCATCCAACGGGTCTTGCTTGCAGAGTCTTCACACGCTCACAAGAACTCAATGGTTGACCGTCAGATTGGCGACCGCCGCTGGTTCAATGCCTCTGAATGTCACCCGTCTGGACCTTCGATGCACCTACCTTCAGGCCACCTCATCACTTCGCTTCATTGCCCGAGAGGATACAAGCTGCGGACCGGAAGGACTTTTACCACCAAGCAAAGGTATCCAGAGCAAGGGCCTTCACCAATGTCCTCCCCTTTGAGTATGAACCTGAGTTGGTGCGTGATCTGAAGGCCTGGGATGTGTTTGAGGAGGTAGGAAAGCCTGTGAAACGTGAAACCCATGGCGATCGGCTTGGGCAAACCGCTATCAAGCCACTCCGGGAGAAGGATGTTGCAAAGGTGACCCTTGGGTTCAAAAGCCTCTTCCAGGGTGACCATCTTGGAGTTGAGTTTGCCTTGGAAAGCCACACAGGGCTGCTGCAGAGTGGTGGCCTACTCCATGGGGATGAGACCTACTTGGAAGGGGCTCGTGATTGATGACTATTTTGCAATCAGTTGTGAGCGTGCGAGCTCCCCTGCGGCTTCTTGATCTTCTGTCAAGATGCTCGAGAGGGCAGAGAAGATCTACGCAAAAGAAGGAGTCTTTGGTTCAGATGACAAAACTGTCAGAGGGGCAGAGACCTTCAAGGTGATTGGTGCTGAGGTGCGATCAGATCAGAGGGCAAGGGACTCTGGGCTTGTGTCAGTTGGCTCTCTGCTCGCAAAGCGGGTTCCCACTATGGCTCTTTCTCTTCGGGCTGCTGCTCTACCAGTGATCTCAAGGACACTAGCTTCAAGACTGGCTGGCAGCTGGATCTCGATTTTGATGTTCAGACGATGCCCCTGGTGCATTCTAGCCAAGATTTTTGCCTTGGGGAACCGTGCTGCCTCGGACTCCAACGAGGTAATCAAGCTGTCCCGGTCTACAGCGGAGGAGCTTGTCCTGGCAAGTATTCTGGGCCTGGTAGCAGCTTCAGATATCTCCGTCCCATATGACACTAACGTCTATGCCACAGATGCCTCGAACTCGAAGGGCGCAATCATCCAGCTTTCAGTCGATGAGGAGCTAAGCAAGACTCTGTGGCTCGGAGGAGATAAGCGCGGGGCCTACACGATGTTGGACAACCGATCACTTGATGAGGACCTCGATGATTCACCTATTGCCTCTGACCTCATGACCGGCCCCAACAAGGTCATTCCCTTTGAGTTCGACTTTGTTGAGATCTTCGGTGGGTCTGGAGTGCTGAGTGAAGCTATGGCAAAGTTGGGTTTGAAGGTCTGTCCACCCATTGATTTAGCTCGCAGCCCGCATCATGACATCAGCAACCCTAAGCTCCTCGATTGGATCTTCCAGATGATCGCAGAAAAAGAGGTTCAAGAGCCTTACTTGCGAACCGCCTTGCACTACCTTTTCTCCTGCTCAGCACCCTGCCTCTCGCTCCTACAAGCAGCCCTTTGGCTTTGACAGAAAGGATCCGAAGACGGCCTTCGGCAACTTGCTGGCATTCCGAAGCTTCCTGATTCTTTGGTTCGCCTCCAGGCATGGGGCCCCCTGCTTGAGACACCTCACCTATCGAAGCTCGCTTGGCTGCCCTTTTGGAATTTTATGATCCAGCTTGGCTTCAAGCAGTGCTCAACTCCTGTGCATTTGGTTGCATCCACAAAAAGCCCTTCCTGCTACTTGGTTGGGGGCTTGATATGAGTATGCTTTCAGTTCCTTGCGCCGGAGGCCATCAGCATGTCAGGATCGACGGAAAGTACACCAAACCAGGTGCTGTCTATCACCCACAGGTTGCTGAGCGCATTGCCTCCTGCTTCGCGCCTGCCCTGAAGAAGCAGAGGGTTGGAAATGAGGAAGTTCAAAGGCCGAAGCTCGAGAGTGTCGTCATTAATGACCTTCTACTTGCTGATGGGTGGGAAACATTGGCACATTGGTTTTGGAGCAAGCCTGGGCACATCAATGTCCTTGAGAGCAGAGCATTCGTCGCCTTGGAAAAGCGACTACTCGATCAGGGTGGAAACCGGAGATTCAATGTCTTCCTTGACAGCCGAGTCGCAAAAGGAGCTCATGCAAAGGGCCGCTCATCGGCTCTGTCTCTGAGGCCTTCGCTTTTGAGATCATGCTCCTACCAGATTGCGGGGAACTTGTACCCTGCATATGGCTTCGCTCCCACCAGACTGAATACAGCCGACGCACCTTCTCGAGACAAAGAAGCAGCTCCTTCTGCCCGATTCTCCATTTTGGAGGTTCTATCTTCGCAGGAAGTCGTCACTGTGCACTCACATCAGTTCTCAAGAGCAGCAGCCAATTGGATCCGGCTCTACATTTTGGCCTGCATTTGCTTTTGCCCTGGTGCTGCAGCCTGTGCAGCCGACTCCACTCGCATTCTCCCTCGTGGAATTGGACTTTCATCTCGGCCTTGATTTTTGCCCTTCTTTGGATTTTTGCCTCCTGCGGCCCTCACCACGGCTTTGGATTTCATGCTGGCCTTCCCGTGTCATGGACTTGTTCCTCAGTGAAGCTCCGGAGATCTGAGTGGTCCCCCCATAGGGTTTTGAGTACCCCCCACCTCTCCACGCAGCCTTGTTTCTGGGTCCACACTCCAGACTTTCCCACACACTACTAGGAGCAAGGACGCTACTAGGGGCTCCTGGAATCGCTACTGGGAGCAAGAAGCTACTAGGAGCAAAGGGGTTCACTGCGCGGACCCTGGAGTGCCAAAGGATGCTGTTCTAGGACGATACATTTGGCTCGAAATGCCGGTTGGTGTCGGCCACAAACAGAACAGAGGGATTCTGAAACAGCGGCCCCGTCGCACAGACATCCAAGTGGAAAAGCATGATATCAGCGCCTCTAAGCCGTGTGTTTTTCGCTGTTTGTAGCATGGATTTTTGTTGAATGGTTCAAAACTCAGGTTTTGAGTGGGTTGGATACGATCAGTGTTCTTTGTCGTGCCCATTGCTCATACAGTCCGGTGTTGATTTTACGTCACAGTTTTGGAGTGTTCTTAGCGGACCTGATCTCCCATAAAGTTTTGGCACTTCTTTTTTTTCAGCGCACCGAGGTTGGTGAACAGGCTATGCTGCCCCCCAACACCCCCCACCCCAACCCCCCCAAACTTCCAATGCGTGTGTGTGCTTGTGGCATCATCTTGGACTTCATATCGAATGTCATTATCCCGTCCCCCCCAACCACCCCCGTCATCTTGCTCAAAAAACTGACCCGAAAGAAATTCCAACACGAAGTCATGTGCTACGCTGATGAAAACTAACTTTATCGCCAAAAAACAACACTTTGTTCTGTGTTGGCGACAGCTGCGAGAGACGCACATGCATGACGGAGCCTCTTTCCTTCCAGTAAAAGAGTCTCTGGCATGGTCCATGTTAAGCCAAATCTTTGGCTGTTGGGCCCGGACACAGTTCCATGTCAGGGAAGTGGTGTTTCAAATGACTCCCTAGATTTGAGAAGCAAAGGGGAAAAGGTCTAGTCTTCGACTGCTCAAGATGAAAGGAGGCCATGTGCCACGTGGGATTCCATGTTAGGGAGCAAGAGGCCGTTCGTCGTGGTCTATGGTAGGGCAACGTTTTAATAAGCCAAGGATCTTGGAGGAGGCGTGATCTGATCTCCACAAGCCTTTTTACCAGTACCATGGTCATTCCCAGCAAGTTCATGGTTAAGGCATTCCACGCTATGTTTGTCTTCGCGAGCGTATTTATATACTGTAACGCATGTTAACTCCAAAGGCCCGTAACAAGAAAACACAAGGTAACGGCCCCGCAGTTTGCTGTGGTTTTGGCATGTGTCTTGCAAGACTTCACCCATGTTTTCTCAGTGTTTTTGTGCTTTCTGTCCTCATGCACGTCCAAGCATTTGTGGTATTTTACCAATTTGGAACTGTTTTTAGAGAATTTGCATTGTGTTCGATGTCTCGGTGTGTATGTTTGGGTTTGTAGCCTCACTTATTTTCAGCCTTTCTTTGGCAACGCTCCGGTATCCTTCCAACCGAACGTCATTAGCCCGAAGTATACCCAACCGGACACCCCTGCGCAGTGCGTATGAAGTCGTCGTGTTGAACACACATACGTATTGCACATCACAAAATTAATAATTAAACTTAATTACTAATTCTTGTTTCTACTAGCTTCTTGTTACTAGTAGTAAGGCCCTTGCTCCTAGTAGCGATGCCAGGAGCCCCTAGTAGCGTCCTTTGTTCCAATAAAAAAACTCACGGGACCGCTGTTAGCAAAATGAAGAAAGATGCCCGCCCAAACAGTTTACAGAAAGTGAAGAGGCCCTGTTGAAAACATGCCTCAGGAATTGCAAACGCAATGAGCATAAATATTTGAGTGGAGAGCTGTGAGCAGGGAGGTGGGCAGCAAGGGTTGGAATGAAAGAGAAGATTCAGGAATTTTCATGTTTTCTTTTTTTTGAAGTGGCCAGGGTTTGTGCCACCTGTGGCATGTTGGGGCGATTTGTTCAAAAGTCGCCTTGCAAAGAGTCAAACAATGCCTATTCATGAAAAAGCAAGAACACCACAAATCGCGCGGCCGCTTCTAAGCTGACATCATAAACATATATATATAACTACATGTCTTTCAACTTTCCTGTGTCCAGGCCGCCAGCGACAGACACTTCCCGCGTGCAACCAGGGAGTTCGTCGACAGTCATTCCTGACTGAAAGTTTGTAAATAAAATTTTTTGCAACACTGGGGGTAGACAAGCGCTGATCAGAAATTACTGCGTGGCGGGCTGTCTGGTTCTGGTAACTTGTGGCTATTTTGACTTCTTGACACTTGAGCTAAATCTGGGCCACTCATGGATCTAGAGTTGAGGATATGGGGTCAAGTCCAAGAATTCAGCTCTCCAGGTTTTTGGCAGCTGTCTTAGAAGCTATTGCATCCCGACAGCAGCCTCTTGAATGCTCTGGCGAGATGCAGGGAGTGCTCGCAGAGCCTGCACTTGGAGATGTGGACAGTCAAGCCCTCACCCGCGCGCATGTCCCTTGGACAAGGAGGTATGGCTCCTTTACAGGGGGCCTTACCTTCCTTTTTTCTTCATAGATTCATATGTGTTTTTTGCCTGTTGGTTTTCTTAGTTGACGTTTTTGTGTTTTTGATCACTGCGCTTAGAGCTTGTGTGGACCAGCGGAGAACTTTGAAGCACATCAAGTCACTTGAGACTCATTTGGGATAAGGTGAGTGCCTTGTGGCAGATGGTCTCCACAGTCATGTGGCTCATTTGGGTGGTGGCAGCAGTGGCAGCGGCAATGTCCTCAAAGCGCTGCATGCTCGCACTCGAAGAGGCCCAAGTATCTCAAAGACAAGACAGCGAGGCTCAAATGGTTGGAGTTCCAGTGCAGGAGGAACTGCCAAGTGGTACTGTCGTTGGTGTTGCAACTCCATCTCTTCAAGGAGATGTTCCAAGCCAGCCCACTTTTCAAGGAATGCCCGTAGCAGTCGCAGATGGAGTTTGCCAAGGTATGCCTGTGCGGGATGAGGCTGGAAATATGAGCCATCCTCCTACAGGTATACCGAAGCAAGTTTAGCATCAGTAGTGTCCTAGACGCTGTGATGACTATGCCGGAATGTTTCACAGCACCAATCTTAGAACAGAGGATGAGGATCTGAAAGTTGGCCGTGTGTTGGGCGTGTCGCATGCACAATTTGAGACTTCATGCACTGTTTGTGCAAGAATCAGGTCAACCACAAAATGGTTGGCTCAAGTCTCTCTCTTATATATATATATACACTTCGAACTCAGCGTGGGCAAGAGTAGCTGCACTGCAATAGATCGCCTGGTAAAGGGGTGGAAGGAGTCAATAAGACCACTATGAACCCAACTCTGAGCGAGCGCCAGTCCTACTCAATCTATATACTCATTCTTGCTGCCTGTGCCATGTCTTTCCCCACTAAGAGATTGGCCCGAGTTGCTTGTGACTTAGACCAGCAGGTGATTTGCCGTCCCTCACTTACTTATATATATATATATTATATATAATAGTGAGCTAAGCTGCTTGCATTCAGGTGAGCTTGGTCCTGGCGCTTTCACTGTGTGTGTCGAACAGGCGCGGTTTGTTTGTGCTTGATGTGCTTATGCTTTTCATCCACTTCTCCAGGCACTGGGTCGGCCCACAGGCCCGAAGACCTTTCTGGATTGGATTTTTGGTCATTCTGTGTTCAACTATGTTCCCCAGTCTCCCTGCAAATCATTCTGTACCCTCTTTGGCTCAAGCCGGCCGACTTGATTGGCCTTGGCATCAGTGATGTTGAACCGCGGTCTTCTCTCTGTTGTACGGCGGGCTGCTGGCTACAGTGCGGCAGCCGCAGTAGCATCAGGTAACTTTTCAGCAAAACCTTTGGCCACAAGCGCCCTGGTCTTTGGAGCGGCAAATGGAATCGGCTTTGGCATTTCTCTAGCAACCGGTTGGCATTATCATTTGGACTTGATAGGGACTGGCATCTTTTCCGTATTTGCACTTGTGTTGCGGGGCAGTGCAGGTGAGCCACGACAAAATGCAAGTGCCGCCTGCATTGCCCTTTGGGCGTTAAAGCTTGCAGGATTCCTCTTTTACAGAGCGCTCCAAACCCACACAGATGCAAGACTGGATGATGTGTTGTCGACCATTCCAGGAATGTTTGGATTTTGGTTTATCTCGTTTGCATGGGGATGGATTGTGTCATCTCCACATGCCTTGGCGGCCTGTGTCACCACCCGGCCTCCCTTTGCGTGGATTGATGGTCTTGGGCTTGGTATTTTTGCAGCTGGCTTCTTGCTGGAGACGTGGGCAGACTGGCAGAAATGGCAATTCAAAAAGGACCCCGCATCCCGTGGGAAATTCTGCAATGTGGGAGTTTGGCAGCTGTCCCAGCATCCCAACTGGCTTGGCAACTTCATGCTCTGGAGCGGCATCGTGGTTCTAAATTCATCAACATTAATGGCAGCAGGCCCAGCATACTTTCTTCCAAGCCTTTTCAGTCCGCTGTTCTTGCTGGGTCTATTTTACGGCCAGGCTTGTGGTGCTATCTCAAACACAGTTCAGCTCACACAAGCCAAGCATGGCCAAGACCCAGAATTCCAAGAATATGTGCGGAACGTGCCACTTTTCTTTCCAACAGGTGGTAGTATATGGAGAATGGTTTGCGGCTGATAAACTCACGTTCTGATGTCAGGCGTAGTTGCACTCGCCGAGACATGAAGAAAAATGTCCGAATGGGAGGCTGAACCTTTTTCATTCGCCCATTGTCAAAGACGTTGCTCCAGGTCTTTACGGGGTCATGTGCCCATACTTCTCAGAGGCAGGGTAGTAGGGTCGTGCAACTCTAGCTTTCACCCGTCCAGTGTTGAATTCATGGGACGCGAAAGTTAGGTCAAGTGGGCCACGTTCGAGGACTGCAGTACTCTGCAGGATTGGTCAATTGTCGCCTCCGAGCTGCATGCGTGGCCCATACAGGACAGCAGTCACCGCTGCTGCGGAGAGTTGCTTGGCCCAGCCACTCACCTGGAACAGCTATTAAAAACAATAAGCTACTAGGAACAAGTGCATCGCTTCTAGTAACAAGTGCCTTACTAGTAGTAACAAGAAGCTATTAGAAACAAGAAGCACAGGAGAGTTAGACCAAGGTTCTCGCACCCCTGAGGCTTGCCAGCATGACCACTTTGTCCATTGACACGGGAGACCTCACGGTCATCAAGGCACGAGGAAGCATGTTTAAACGGATGTTTATGTATGGAAAAGGTGCCTTGTTGACAGGAGTATGCAGAGACAGGACTCATCACAGATGCAACGACGTGCCGGCCTGAGCATTGGCGCGGGAAGAAGAATCCACAACTCAAATTACAGAGTGTTTTTTTCTTTGCTCTACCTTGGCTTTGCCCATGGCCCCTGCAAAAGGCATTTTGCGACAACTCCACCTTGGGGAATGGTGGGTTTACATTGCTTTGTGGGTCACTAACACCTTTTTGAGTATTGAATCTGTACCCCAGCCACCTATCGAAGTAGCTGGCAGATTTGATTCAACCTCTGACTCTATCGGCGTTTTGTCCCTGTGGGGCAGCTGGGTGGCAGCTAGACGAGGCAGAGAGAGAGAGAGAGAGACAGACAGAGAGAACCGGCAGTTGGCGGAGTCCAAGTTTGGCTCCGAACATTTGGGTCTATATTTCTGTTTCCTGGTGCTGGTGGGAAACATGTGCCTCCCTGAAACCTGCCGCTTTGTGCTCTTTCCGGTGCCACTGTATTCATTTACGGTACCTATTCCTGCAGGAGGCAACGCATCCATTTGCGCCATTTTGTGGTCTAGGTTGGAGGCCATCGCTAGTAGATTGAGGCCATCGCTTCTAGCCCGAGTTGTTGGCTCATTCAGATTGTGTGTTGACCGAATGTTCCTGTGGGACGGCTGCTTCGGAGCTGGACCTTTTGGAGGGTTCTTGTGCGGGACCTTCAACTTTTGTTTGCTGGAAACGCCTGTAACTACAACCTCTCAAATGCCTTGTGAAGTGATTAGACCACTCTGGTGAAAGGCTTTGCACCGCAAAAGGGTACTTGATGCTGCACAGTTTGCCTGGGTGTTCTGAGTACTGACCTGCTCCATTTTTTTCGTTTGCATGGGCTCGAGGGGGACTGTCAGGAATCCTTTGTTTGTCAGCCAAGCTGGCCTGAGCGGAGATCCCGTCATACGCTCAGCAGTAGTCAAGTGCACAAGAGCGGACACGTTCATTCTTTTAAGGTATACGTAGCGCTGCTTGAGGATGCGCAACTGCCTCGGCGTACTGCCGTCTGTATGGTCAGGTTGGCTTGTCCAATGGGAGTGGCACCAAGGATAGCTTATGCACGCAAGTCTTCGACAAAGGAGGACGACTTTGTTGAGTTGGCCATGGACAAGCTGGCAGTGAACCTCGGGGTTGTCCACGCCTCGGAAGAGGGAAAGCTGCAAAGCTGCCAAGCTTTTATGACTGTGCCTACCAAGGCCATCTCGAAGCTTGTCTCCGGGTATATTTCCACTGAAGCAGTATCCCCAGAGAAGCCTGACAAGTCACATCTGCTTTTTTTGCATTAGAGGTCGACCCACGCTTGAGCTTCAACAAGGACTCTCACATGGCTCAGCTCAATCATGTTTAGATGAGCAGGTCTTGAAATGCCACGCAGGAGGAAACTTTGCGACGTGCTAGGCGGATCATTGCTCCCACCCCAGCTGACTGGGACAGTATCATCAGGGTGGCCGGTCGCCATGCCCTGGAGACGTGCTAGGCTTTGTACGAGGAAGCTGGCATTCCAAGAAGTAGAGCTAGAGCCTTGGTCGACTGAAAGCGCAAAGAGGCAAAAGTAGGCACCTGGAGAACAGCATGTCATGCGCCACCAGATTGACAAAGGTGCTGATCAAGCTAGCGGCCACGTGGGAAGGTATTGCAGCAATGAAGGAATTGGAATCTGAGGTGTGGAATTTTGCATGCTTTTACATCATTTTTGATGTCGCACTGACGTCTCTGAGTCCCGTGACCCCGATGTGAATCAACTTGCAGGGCATCACTTGCAACATGACCCTGGTGTTTGGCTTTGTGTCAACCTGAGTCAGGGCTCTATATGGAATCAATGTCACGAAACTTCTCTGGCAAGGCGCAGGCTGTTGCCGCTGCTCAGTGTCGAGCCTAGATTATCCTAGATTCAACATGCCGATCAGTGGCAAGCTCAATTGCAGAGGTATGGTGCACGTCTCATTTCGCCTTTTCCTGGGAGAATCTTGGACTTCCACAAGAAGCTGTCAGGCCGATATTCAGTGCCAGAATCCCATGAACTCCAAGACAGATTTGATCTGAGATGTGGTTTTGGAGGGAAAGACATTTGGGAGCCAGAGAAGGCACGCAACCCATTTCAATTGTGTAGATTTGCTGTGTGGCTTGCCGTGCAGGATCCTGGTGTGGTGGCAGTGCGGCGCATGTGACCTGTTCATTGACACGGGTGTTTGACAACCTTGAACAAGACAACCGTACATGATCACTTCCCGCATGATAGGCTCAGGAACAGGGATCAACGTGCAAGGGACCAATCAACGACACAAGGACAGCCTGGACACCTTTTGGTTTTCAACCGACTTTGACATTGTTTTTCAGCACGGAGCCTTGGGCTTCAGGCATCTCATGCCAGAAACCTTCAAGACTGACTGACTGACTGACTGACTGACTGATTGGTGCATGCTTTAGCTCCGTGCTGGTCCTCGCAGATCGTGCACCTCAGCTGCGTTTGTACATTTATTGAAACTTTGAACCTTGTAGGGAAAATGCCGAAGGATGCCATGAGGGTGGCAGATTTGTTCAGCAGATGGTGCAGTTTTTGTTTAAAGTCTAGAGGCAGCATGCGCATCGCATGGCTTAGCACACCTTTTGTGGAAACTGCGGAATCCTTTTAAAATAATTGCATTTTGTGGTGCGGGCAAGGCCCCTTCAACATGCGCTCTCGGGCATCCCTCCCTGCAACTTGGCCTTGACCCCTCTCAAACCTTGGGCAGACTACAGTATTTTCACTGGACTGAGGTGGTCGCCTGCCTGCTTGCTTGTGGATACCTTTGGCTTTGTAAGTTCTCTTCGTCTGAGACCCGAAGTTTGCCGCTTGCTGCTGTGCAGGTTCAGGCGTACTGTTCGCTGAGCCTGATTGATCGCCCCCACATTTTGACTGAGCACGTCCCTCTCCACTAGGGCTTCAGAGAACCACCTCCACTTCGCCAGCGAGTTGCTTACGTTGCAGTCGTGGACGCGACTTGGCCAATCTTCTTGAAACGGAGTGTGCTGTGCTCTTTTTTGCAAACATAGTGACTGTGAAGGTGAATGTGAAGAAGGGTCAAGAAGCTGATTTCTTGGAGGCATTTTTTGATGACACTTGTATTGGGCGAGTGAACGCACGACTCTTCGTTCTTTTATGTCAGAAGGTGACTCTGCCCAGGCTTCGCTGCAGAATGCGAGAGCTTCTAAAAGTGAAGCTCTAAACCAGCGATTTGACATTCTTCAGCAACGACGCTTGGCAGATGCGTATCTTCACATAGGGCTGGTAAAAATAGTGGTATGCACACACACACACATATATATATATACACATACCGTATTAGTATGACAATGGTATTCTTATGACCCGTTTGCAGCTTGATGACACCAAGAATGACACCAAGAGAAGCAAGCGCTTGCAGAACCTAAAGCAGAGGAGACGACCCCAGCCGCTTCGCTTTGATTGAGATCTACAGGACGGAATGGAGCAATGCACTTCAGGCAGTCATGATTCATTATTCTACTTCTCAGCTTTGCTTGGACGCCATAACCACTCAACTACTCACCCATCCCTGAGTAAGTAAAGTGGAGGAATGCAAATGGCCCTGCTGGGCACAAAGAGACCGAGCACTACTTGACTTGGCGGGAGGCTGTAGCAGAGATGATGGCAAGCCCCAGGCCTGTGCCGTTGTTTGCCGATCGCATTGGCTCGCCAGTCTCCGCTGTGACTTGGGAGGAGTGGAACTCAGTGGGACACAGTTTTCCCGGGGAAGGCCGCATGGGATGTGTGTGCGTTGTTATCCTCACGTTGAAACAATAAACGAAGGTACGGGTTTGAAGGTGTACCTTCGTCTCAATTTTTGAAATTCTCTCGAATTGTTCCTCGGTGGGGCAGGCATCTGACTACCATCCATCAGTGATGATGCTGGAGCGATCCCAGGTGCAGAACTTCCCCATTCTCCCACTGGTTGTCATGTGTAGCGGCAATGATCCTATCAGCGACTCCAGACCAACTGCAGGGTGCAGCGGACTTGGACATCACCCACGTGTATGTCAGTGTCACTCCTGGGAAAGAGCAGGCCTCTTTACCTGTGTTGGGCAGGCGGCATTGGAAGCGTGCTTTAGACTTTCACCGCGCCAAAGATTTATTGTGGAGATTTATATAACTCACCTGAAAGCTCAGAAAGCCTCCGCAAGCATGAAAACAGTCGCCACAAACAGATGGCCAGAAACCAAGCTCCGATGATCAGAACTAGGATGCTTCAAGCATGGTTCTTCCACTTCGTCTGGCTGCCTTGTCGGCCCTCCTAAGCATTGCTAAAACCAGAGTAGTCGCATTTTTGTGGCGTCCTGCATTGTTTGACCAGCCAGCACAGCCAGATCGCTTGTGCCTTTTAGCGGGACAGGAATTCAAGAAAGCCACTCGAGAGAATGCCATGCAGTCGGTCAGATCCTCAATACTACCGAAAGCAGAGGCCAATTGGCAGTGGTATGTAGAGCAGGTGCCACACAGTGCAGGTGAAAGAGTGGGGCAATTTGCGCTTTGATGTCCTGCAGAGCGTAGAGACACCGACCGAATTTCTGCTGATTGAAGTGTACAGGCGGGATTTTTTACTTTCTTTACTTTGGCACTTCTACTATTTGCCCCGAAGTGGTTTTGGCATCAGGACTGCTGGCGATGCTGCGCAACATAAAGAGACCAAGCACTACTTGGAGTGGAGGATAGTTTATGTATACCATAATGTTTTCCACACTCATTCTGACTCCAAAAGTATGAAGGAAAGAAAAGAAAGCAAGAAAGGAAGGCGGAAGGGGACAAGAAAGGTGCCCAAAAGATCCTAGGAACCAAATCAACCATGCCCTCTCTACCCCCCTAGTCTTGGCAGCCCACCCTGACCCAAGCTCCCCCCAAAAGTGGGACATGTTGTGATTTTCAATAGCTATCCAGCATGGACCCCCTGTGTGCGCAAGGAGCACTGTGGCTGACATGATGGCCAAGCCAAGGGAGGCCAAAAAGTATGCATAGAACCCAGCCAGAGTGAGTTTAGAAGTAAACAAACATGCGAAGAATGCAAATGTTGGGCTTTTTGGCTTCCATGATTTCAATGCCAGATCTTCCGAAAGCGAGGTGACCCATTTCCCCACCGTACCAGCGGCCTGGAAGGTTGGTGATTTGGCGGCGGGCTCAAGAAACATGCATCAGGGTGCTTGTTTGGCCTGGTCATGCGGCTCAGGTGATTTGATGCGGCATGGAGGGAATCAAAGCGGCAAAAAGATGTGTCTTTTGAATGAAATCACGCTACCACCTGCAGCAAGTTGCTAGAGTTTGGGCGATTGGCCTCTGGCAGCTGGAGAACTGATTGTGCGAGAGGTATTCCTACTACAAACGCTATGGCTATGACACCATTTGCATGCCGGCCAGCTGGCGGCCATCAAGGCTTTGCAACTCGCTCCGTATCCTAGTTGCTCCTAGTAGCGATGCCCGGGTTCCTAGTAGCTAGGAGCGTCCTTGCTCCTAGTAGCGATGCCCGGGTTCCTAGTAGCTTCTT